ATAAGTCAGTCAGAGAAAGACAAATACCATATGTCAACTATAATTATATATATATATAGTCACAGGACATGGAGTAGAGTGTGGGAATGGAGTCAATGGAATTGTAATATAGATAAGCATGATATTGGGGGGGGAGGGCAGTAGATGGGGTTATTTCTGTGTGAAGGGTGAAAAAGATAACTATTGCATTGTTCTGTACACCTGAAACTAACAAGAAAGAAAGAAAGAAAGAAAGAAAGAAAGAAAGAAAGAAAGAAAGAAAGAAGGAAGGAAGGAAAAGAAAGAAAGAAGGAAAGAAAGAGTGTGAGCTCTGAGCAACAGGGTTGCCAGTTTGATTCTGGGCCCAAGTTGAGCTGCCATGGCTCAGCTAAAAAAAAAAAGAAAGAAAAGAAAAGAAAGCTCCTCAAAGGTGGGGGCAGTGTCTGGTCTGTTTGCTCCTGTAGTTCCAGTGTCTAGCATGGTGCCTGTTATACAGCTAGTACTCAACGATTGATTGTGGAAAGAATTGACCCAAGGAAAAACCAAGTCTTTCCTGAGGAAGCTGCCATTCTGTTTACTATCAAATAAAAAAGGAAAAAGCATATGTATATGTAGCTACTCTTAAGAAGCAATTGAATAGATAAATGCTGGAGATGCACACCAGGGCGGTGCACAGAACCCAAAGAGTTCTCAACATTCCAACTTATACAACTGGATTGATGGCAAGTCATTTCATATAAACTCTTTTTTCAGTTTTTATCACTCTAAATTAGGCTCTTAAGTTTTCAGATCTACTTCATGGGTTTTGAAATTTCATACAAGGAATACATAAAGGGTAATTTCTGTATTAATACAGTGCCTGGCACATATTAGGTGCTCAATAAAATTCCAAGTAAATGATGGGGCAGCCGGTTAGCTCAGGTGGTTATGAGCACAGTGCTCATAACACCAAGGTTGCCGGTTTGATCCCTACATGGGCCACGGAACTGTACCCTCCACAACTAAGATTGAAACAGCTACTTGACTTGGAGCTGATGGGTCCTGGAAAAACACACTGTTCCCCAATAAAATAAAATAAAATACTTCTTTAAGAAGAGAAATATTTACACAAATTTTTTTGAGTGAATGAATGGATATATGAATTATAGAGAAAATCAGCCTTGCATCACCCTAAGAGAGTGTTTGGCAAAAAAGGGATTTGTGGGACAGCCGAGTGGCTCAGTTGGTTAAGAGTTGGCTTAAGAGCACAAGCTCTGAGCAACAGGGCCACTGGTTCAATCGCCACATGGACCAGTGACGCTGCGCCTGAGCTGAGCTGTCGCTGAGCTGCCAACAGGTGGCAGGATGGCTCAGCTGGTGTAACAACAAGATTACCTGTTTGATGGTGGGCTACGCCCACCCACAACTAAGACTGAACTCAGCACCTTGGGCAGAGCTACCGCCCAGATTGCTCAGTGGAAAGAACGTGCATTCTTAACAACAACGCTGCTGGTTCGTCTCCCACATGGGATGGTGGCTATACCCACCCGCAACTAAGATTGTAACACAGCACCTTGCACTTAGAGGCCACGAGTGCTGACGGGAAGCCAGATGGTGACTGGCATCCTCCACAGCGAAGATTGAAGAACAACAACTTGGCCGGTCCCCTTCCTCAATTCCCCAATGCTGTTCCCTTCCCCCAATTCCCCAATAAAATCTTTAAAAAAAAAAAAAGGTGTGTGGGGGGGATTTGCTCCAAATTGCACAGCTCTTTAGAGCCAACAAGGCCCCATGGACCAGAACTTGAGTTTTTGCCATGTTGGGTCTGTGCTTCCTTACTGTTTGTTAACTTGCTCCACAGCAATGTTGAGGCGTTTTGCAATGTCTTCCACCGTCTCACTGTTGGCTGAAATGATACCCACACTCTTGGCAATAGCTTTGGCTGTGATTGGATGATCACCTGTAACCATAATAACCTAGGAGAAAGGCATAGGGACGATGAGGATTTTGGCTGGCCAGAGTTGGGTAGTTCAATATCGCGTACTCTACCTGGTAGAATGTGCTTAGTGATGACTGTGGCTTGCCCTTACGGATAGTTCTTGATCTTTAGGTCAAGGACACACTGATCCCACTGGATCTATCCATGCTCCTAAGCTTCTTGCACTTCCTCCTCTGATATTAGAGGAACCCCCTTCCCTCTGACATGGCTGTATTTATAAAAGGGCTGATAGCTGGCGACCTGGGACAGCCTCATGTTGCTTCAATAGTCTTAATATTAAAATGAGAATTAAATGAAGATTTTTGGTTTTGATATCATGAAGGTAAATGGATTATGGAGGCTGGACCTCAAGATTAAGTAATAAAACCTTTTATTATCAATCACAGTCTAGGGCAGGGGTTGGCAAATTTTTGAGATGGAAGAGCCACCAGGGGTCAGCAAACTGTGGCTTGTGAGCATGTGGCTCTGAAGAAAAATTGAAAATGAAAATAAAACTATCATAGTTTTATTTATAAAAATTTTAAAGGATATTATTCACATAATGGTGAATACGTAAAAATGTATTTATGGCTCTCGAATAATTTTTAAATTGTTGTGAGGGACAGGATTGGCTCTTCCAGGGGTTGGCAAACTTGAGACGGAATGTACCCAAAGAGCCGCATGTGGCTCATGAGCCGCAGTTTGCTGACCCCTGGTCTAGGGCAAAATATGGCTACTTCATGGCACAGGGAGATAGCTTTCTTCTCACTGTTTATTCCACACAGACATAATTTTTTTTGCTTTCATTGTACAGTTACTGAAATATTAGTATAGTGAAAGTAGAGATTTTTTAAAAAGGGGAATTACAATATTTACTTGAAGAGACCTAAATACTGACTACCTCCTCTGACAAACGTTCTTAGGAAGGGATACAACATAAATGGAGGGCTTCCTAAGTCAGGAAGTAACTCTCACCTTGATCCCCGCGCTCCGGCATTTGGTGACCGCATCTGGGACTGTGGACCGAGGAGGATCGATCATTGACAAGAGCCCAACAAAACAGAGTTTGGACGCGGGAAAGTTCATGGCATCAACATCAAATGAGTAAGTTTCTGGAAACTCGTCTGCTGGTAGGTAGAGATGACAGAAACCTGGAGTGGGCATGAATTTGGGGGGGGGGGCGGGGTCAGTGAAACTAGGCTATGAAATGACACAAAAAAAGGAGGAACACTTTGACACACTATCAGTCCTTTACTCTCTCGCCAATACTTTAGAGTCTACCAGAATTGTTTAATTCTTTCAATTCCATAGTGCATGTTGTTTTTAGCAAAGACATTGTTCATCCAAAAATAATTCACTGTGTGCCCATTAGGTTCTAGGGCTATACAGACTAATAAGCATGGACAGGCTTTACTTCTGAATATGTCCCAGTTGAGTGTGGGGACAGAGACATACAGAAATAAGCATAATAGAGCATGGAGACTGTTACTATGGGGAGCTATGCTCTAGCCATCTGGGGAATCGGGAAAGACTTCACCGAAGAGGTCACATGGGAGCTGACTCTTGAGAGAGGAGTTTGGGAGGACTTGGGGGTGGGAAGGCCATTTCAGGCAGACAAAACAGCACATGCTACTGCACAAACAGGGGAAAGAATCTGGGGCATCGGGAATGGTACATAGCTCAGTCTCTAATCAAGATTAAGTATGAGAGAAAAGGCCCCCAGGAGTGGAGCAGAATGGTTCATTACTCAGACAGCATCTGGCTCTCACAGGCTGAGGTGAAGGAGTTCATGTGTCTGGTGGGCCTTCCAAGATCATGTGACTTTCTCATCAGCTCTCACATCAAACGTATTCTCAGCATGGCCCACTGTGTTACCCGTTTCAGTAAAGCCCAGACTTTGGGAGGTCAAAAGTGAGGTTCTTAGAGCGACTCTAGTCAGATCGGCATCAACCTTGCCCTGAAAAGATCGTCTGGTGCTGTGGGTTGTTTGAGGCATGCATAAAGCATTCATTGTCACATTTATAGGTTTTACTCGCTTTACAAACCCAAATATCCTTTAGAAACACACATTCCACAGATTCTGTCTCTACTAGTAAGAACTTCCCTGATGCTTAATGAGCCTTAGCATCAACCATGAACTTGTTACCTTGAATTCACCATTCTGTAGTTCAGCGGTGCTACTATGTCAACCCATGGTTCTCACAGCAGGACCTATTCTGCAATACTAAACCATGGTTCCGCTCCTGCCACAGTGATTATAGTTCTATAGTCCCTTCCACCTCTAACATCCCATCTCTGACAGTATTTTTTCTCTAATCACTAAGCGGGAAACTTCAAACTTTTTTAAACTAACTTTCCTCCCCTAACCAGTTGCTAAGTCCTACCAATTGTGCCTCCAAGAATTCTCTTGTATCTGGTCCCTCCTTCACGTCCCCATTGCCTTGGATCAAATTCCCACCCTGTCACCTGACTGAGGGCAGCCACCTGCTCCTGAGACCCTGAATGCTCCCTGCTCCCATCAAGAATGATCCTTTATTGTTTGTTTGTTTGGTTTTTTTTAGCTGAGCCATCCTGCTACCTGTTGGCAGCTCAGCTCGGGCTGGACTCGAACCGCTGTTGCTCAGAGCTCACACTCTTGAGCGAGCTCTTAACCAACTGAGCCACTCGGCTGGCCCTAAGAATGATCCTTTAGAGACACGGACTCTGATCAGCTGACTTGCTGCAAAGCATCCAGTGGCTCTGCCCCGACCCAGCTCCTCAGCCACATCAGGCACTCCACATGGGGCCTCCAGTCTACCTTTCCGGCCCCATCTCCCATGACAAATCATCCCTCTACTGTGCAGCACTCCATGCTGACCTCCTCACTGACGATGCATACCACCCCAACCCCACCCCCCCCTTCTACCTCTGGGCCTTGGCCTGTGTTGTTCCCTCCACTGGGAATCCTTTCCCCACTTCCCTTCAAATAGTCATTCAAGGACCATTTTGACTTCCATAGAATCTTCCCAGCTTTCCTTCACCTGGCAGCGACCCCACCCTCCCTGCTGCTATTATGTAGTATTTATTCTCTTATCTGTCTACTATTCTCTTTCTGTGAGTCCTGTGGATGCCACACCTACTCTGCTAGATGGTCAGCTTGTCTCAGCTTGTGTCCTGACCCAGCTTAGAGCCATGCACCTCACAAGTGACACATAAGGGTTCTGCCACCAAGTACTCACCCAGCACGCGCTCGCCCAGTCCCCCCAGCTCCATGTATGCAGTATGGAAGGCCTCAGTTGTGCTCTTGTCCAGAGGCTGCTCCTGACCATTGAGCATGATGGTGCTGCACTTCTCTAAGACCTTCTCAGGGGCCCCTTTCATCACCAGGAGGAAGCGCTTATCACTGGGGTCGTCTGTCTCATGTATGGAGAGCTGGGAGTGAAGGAAGTGAGTATAAGTACAGCATGCAATTGAATCATGATACCATCTTCACTACAGAGGGCCTGAACTGTACAGGCCTTTTAATTAGCAGCATGACAAGATGAAAAACAGTCCTTTCTCTCGTTGGGCTATTTATCCTTAAAATGTAAAGGGTGGGGGTTGCTCTCTACAGCTGAGTTCTCTCCTTTTTGTTTCCGGCCAAGTAATATGCAAGAGGTCTGGACTCAGCCATCTAGTCCCTGCCCAGCAGGGTACCCTGAGGTCCGGTCCAAACCAAGTGGAGCCTGTCTTTCCAATAGAAACTGGTTACGTTAGAGGATCAGATGTGGCTGTCAGCTCAGGAAATCTTCTGCCTTGAACAAGGTCTGCAGGGGTGAGTGTGGGCTGGAGGGACCTCATCTCACCTCCTGCCTCTACCTCCCTATTGCAAGCAGCAGCATTGCAGACCAGAACTGCTCTGAGCTCAGGCAGGTGTGAGGGCATCAGGACTTCCTGAGCCTCTTCATCTCCACATCGATCCAGTTCTGCTGTCGTCCCTATGTGACAGAAAATGGCAGGGGTGCGAGGGACTGGGCAGGCTCAAGTCCAGGCTTCCAGGAGGACAGTTAAGTAAAGGGTATCACAGCTTTAACACCAATACCTTTTAACCTACTAATTCTACTTCTAGACTTATCCTAATAAGATACTTGGGAAAAGTGTGAAAAATATATAGACAATAACAAATGGCTAAGTCTTATGTAGTCCTTATTGTATACCAGGTACTCTCCTAAGCCCTCAAAAGGAACTTCAGGAAGCTGGAGAAACAGTAAGTTACAAAGAAAAATTCTACCATTTTGGGTCTATCAGTTGATTCTAAATCAGTAGTTTTTAGACTTTGGGATATCAGAGATGAGTATAATAATAATAATAATAATAATAATAATAATAAAGTAGAGGACAAACAGGCTTGCCAGATTTTTTTTATGGCCATGTAAAGACAAAAGTAACTAACCAACCCAAACCCAAACCAAAAACCTCCCATCTACTATCACTATCATTTTAACATTAAAAAAGTACAAATAATAAACACTTATACAGTGCATACTATTCTAAGTGCTCACACAGTTATTCATTTTATTCTCAAAACTGCCCTAAGGCTGTGGGTACTCTTAACTACTGCCTTTTACAAGGCAGGAAACTGAAGTTCAGGAAAGTTAAACAACTAGTGCAAGGTCACACACTAACGGGTTGCTAAGCTAGGGTTGAATTCAGGCTGACAGCTGTGAGTCCCCACCATGATCATGTAAGATACAAAGGATAATCTTTTAAATGGAATACATTCATTTTTACATAACACATTCATGTTTACATAAAACTTCGTAAAATGTGGTCCTAATTTTCCAGTATGCCGTAAACTACTGAAAATATCTTCATAGACCAGTCTCAGTTTGGGGAATTGCTACTCTAACATCAGTAAGACATGGAGTTTCCACTTTGTTTCCTTTGGTTGACCATACCACACAGAGCTTCCAAGCTCAGGACATCTAAAGCTTTTTGTTCAGGGCTGAGTGGGATAGATGGCGCCCCAGCAGGGCTCCGCATCTTGTTCTTGACTGCAAGGCCATCCAGCCTAGTCCCTAAGAGCACAGATTCCTGGGTCTGTGTGAGTCCTGCCTCCAGCCCTTACCAGCTGTGTGATAAGGCTCTGTACCTCACTCCTCACTCTCTACCTTACAGAACTGTTGTGAGAATCAAAGGACTTAATACAAGCAGCAAGGAGCACACGATGGCTGTGATTGCTATTGTTATTTTAGGATTGCGACTCATTACATTTTCAACTATGTTTTGAACAAGAGATCTGATTTTCTGGCTTTTTAGTGTTTGACATCACACACTTTTTTTTTTAGGTTGTCTATTTGGCTAACTGCAGTTCTTTATTGACCCATTATCCACAAAGATGTTTGCGACAAACAGTTCTTTTCCATCCAAATGAAATGGCTGGATAATCACCAGAAACTTCAATACAAACATGGGTATCCTACCGATATACTTTACTGTTAAGGCGAAGACCAAATCATAACGCTGGCTCTCAGCTCTGGAGTCTATGGGAAAGCCTGCCAACAGCAGGACCCTGGGCTGTACACTGTCATCTGTCCTAACACAAGGACAATGGGGGTGGTTGGTTGACAGCCACCCCTGAAATGAGAGGAGACAACCAGGCAAGGACAGCCATTATCATCTTGAGCAACAAGTGAAAAAAGGTCCCTGTGGGGCAGAACTGGAAAGCCACGTGGCTGGTCATCTGAGACGCCTCCCCGGTTTTGCAAATGGCAAGGCTCCCTCACATGGCCTGAGGGAGGCTGTTCTACCTCAGAGCTGTGGCAGAAACACGTGGGCTCAGGAGTCAAACAGATGTGTGGAAACTGGTTGTGCCACTTCGATGCAGATGTGAGTCTGATCAAATCAACACACTCAGGAGCTTGTGTCGTCACTTATAAGTTGGGATTAACTAGTCCTACCTCATAGGCTTGTTGAGAGGATTAATGACACAATGCACATAAAGCACCTGACACAGACTGAATAGACGTTAGCTCCCCCTTCTGCCACCTTTCATTTACCCTTTGGGTTTTGGCTGTTGCCCCTCACTGTGCAAGTCACCCCATGGGTGTGCGTGTGAGTGTGTCTGTAAAAGCAATGCAAAGCTGACCTGACTGAGGGCCCAGACCCTCCATCTCTGAGGGCTGTTTTTGAAGTCAAGTATCATTCAAAACCAGTACAAACCTAAGGATACTTACCGGCAAAGTCGCCATTCTGGTGACAACAAAGATTCAGTTGTCAGAACAACTCACCTGGAATTTGTTGGTTGAGTTAAAAGGGATTTCTGCTACTTTGCGGTTTCTTTTTCTAATTTCCATCACATCACCCAAAACCACCTCTGAGAATTTCAAAAGAGCAGTTTCAGAGGCATCTCCGACCACAACTCTCTGAGAATCAGAAAAGATAAAATATATATACATATATATTTTTTCAGCACATAACCTGGTTCTTTTGGGATTATTTTCAATAAACCAACATGTCACCTGAGCTTACTATCTAGTTGGAAAGATGAAATGATGACACATGATTGTGACAGACTTAAGACCACAGTAAAAGTGTTAAAAGTGAGTGGTGCCACCTACTGGTATTAAGAAAGCTCAAAAAAGTCAGAGCTCTGGGAGAAAAAAAGCAGCCATCAATTAGATCTAGAGAGACAGCAGTGGGTTACCAAGAGAGGAGCTAAAGAAAGCGTTCTAGAAGCCAGAATGCCATGAAGAAAGGCAATATGTGGAAGACTTCTTTCTGTCTGGTGGACATGAAGACCCCTGGAAGGCAGGTTGGGGTGTAGACTTGAGAAGCAGAGAACAGAAGGAAAGAAAGTTTGGGGGCAAAGTTGGGTGAAGTATTTCATTAACGTGATACTTAAGGAAAATTAGTGCCACATAAGAAAGACTTAGGAAGGGAAAACTGTAATCATGTAGGCTAATAAAGAGGCTGGTAGGGTTATTTTGATGCACGGTATTGGCAATAACAGAAATGTAAAATTATAGATATTTTGAAGAAAGAATGATAGGACTTGATGAGGAGAAAGTTAACAATGACTTCTAAAAGTTTTGGCCCAGATGACAAGTAAAATGGTGATGCCATAGAAAAATAGAAACGTTGGGACAAGACCTTGATTTGGAGTCAGGTTGGGTACAGGTGTAAGGTGACAAGTATAATTTGTTGAGAGTCTAACAGGATGAAACTTCCAAGTGGAAATACACAGCTAGCTGGAGACCCATGGAGTTGGGGTGAAAAATTAGAACTGGACGTAAGGCTTTGAAAGATACTAACAGAGAAATGATTGGTCAAAAAGAAAATTGATGAGCTGATAGCGAAAGAAAAGCAAACAAAAAACTGAAGAAAGAGACAGTCAATGAAGGAAACAAATAGCATATAGAAAAGTCAGGAGGACATAGATTTGGTGACTCATTGGGAGTGAGAAGAAGAGGGAGAGAGAGAGAGAGAGAGAGAGAGAGAGAGAGAGAGAGAGAGAGAGAGAGAGAGAGAGAAGGGAAGGGTTAGTTTATTGAATATTCCAATATTCCAGAACCCATTACAGCATCTGTTGCCGAAAGGAATATGTTCTATCATCAGTCCTTCTATTTCCATTCAATTATATTTTAAACTTCAGTGAATGGCATTTATGTAATAAAGAAACGTTGACTGTATCTACTTAACTGATCAACATATTAGGAAAGTAACTTAAAGGCACATTCATTTTCTAGAATGAGACAGAATTTTCCAAAGACTGAGATCAATCTGAGAACTTTCATACAGCTCTATGATGTTGCAAAGCTTGTTAAAATAAAAGGAAATCTTCGGCAGGTCTTGTGAGTCAAGACTTGCTCTGACTAGCACAAGCTCTGCTTGGTTGGAGAAATTAAATCAAGCCCCAAATCAGAACAGAGTGACTTCAAACTGGCTGTGATTTAAGATTGGGCAATGCAGACGCTTTACCTTCATGATGGGGACACTTTCCTGTCCTGGTCTGAACTCGGCTCGGTTACACAACATGATTATCTTTGATAAGGAGGCCCAGGTTCCAGAGCTTTGATCAAAGGTTTGCTCTGGAAAACAGAAAGCACAGTGGACACTGTGGGTACAGGGCCCATATCCCGGAACCATACGCTGCCTGACACCTTAGGCTGGGCCCCACCGCTTGGGGCCACTGCTTTGAGCCAGACCAAGTGCTTCAGGAAACTTACGCGAATGGTTTTCACTGGTGTCAGCCACGAAGATCTGATTGTCGAACCACAGATGGGCCACGGTCATTCTGTTCTGGGTCAGAGTCCCCGTCTTGTCTGAGCAAATGATGGAGGTGGAGCCGAGCGTCTCCACTGCCTCCAGGTTCTTCACCAAGCAGTTCTTCTTGGCCATCCGTTTTGCTGTCAGCGACAGAGTCACCTGGAGAGAAGAGAGAGAGAGAGGAATCCTTTTGAAGGTAGGCTCAATAACATAGAAACACGTAGAGCTGGACTAGTTTCAAGATAGAGCTACGGTTACAGAGAGAGCAGAGCTGACCCAGTGGCTGATAAACCACTACCAAGCCCCATATGCCACAAGCCTTTCTTATTAAATATGGCACATTGCTTTTGTCCCTTCATCCCTTGATGAAAGTGATCCTGAGGAACCCACAAGTAACAAAGCCAGGCAAGGTTGCTACAGCCGATACTTATATGCAATTATAAAGGGAGCTTTGGCCTGCAGTTCAAACATGTCTTATGTAGGTCTCTGCTCAGAACAGCAGGCCAATGATCGTGGAGGCCACCTTTCCATGTAACGGGGACCATGAGCCCCCTTCCACCCCCACAGGACCTCCACAGCAGAGATTGGGGAGGGAGCTGTTTAAGGATGAATTGGATGGACTCTTACAAAGGGAAACCTAGAACTGAATTGGGGGTAGGCACGGAAAGGGCTGAATTGCTTTGCAGAAAAAAAATGGGAGGAGTTTTTTGTGTCTGTGTGTGTCAGAGAAGGACAAGAAAGAAGATAAACAAGTTCCTCAGTTGTAGACACTGCCAAGGAAGTGTGTTTGTTTTCTTTTTAAGAAAATTGGAAATGTGGGGAAGGCATCTGGCTTCTAGAAAATCTGGCAATGATGGTTCGAGTCTGTGTAATCTAGATTTAAGGGACAAAGTAACATGTGATTTGCAGATAGATCTCTTAAAAATGGAAATATAAAATTTTGAAGGACAGTGCATTCAAATATCAACAATCTCACAGTTCCTTTTGTCCCTCTAAGAAACTCATTTCAGAATGTCCCCTGCTTCTCCCTGAAGGGGAGGGAGTGTTGCTCTGAGATGGAGGAGACCCAGTTTGCGGTGGGAGCTCACTCAGCATAGCAGAGTGGCATGTGTTAGCAGGGTCAGGGGATGGACCACCTAGCAGCATGGACTCACAGTGACAGTGGCCAGGAGGCCCTCAGGCACATTGGCCACAATGATGCCAATGAGGAAGATGATGGAGTCCAGGACACGGTACTTCATGGACACCGCGATGATGAAGAAAAGGATGCCGATAGACACAGCCACTCCAGCTACGATGTGCACGAAGTGCTCAATCTCAGTGGCAATGGGTGTCTTCTCATTTCCGATGCCTGAGGCCAGCGCGGCAATCTGACCAATGATAGTGCGGTCCCCTGTGTTGATGACCATGCCCGTCGCGGTGCCTACAGGTGGAGTGGACATTTTACTGCAGAGGTCCTCAGCTGGGAGAGGACCGTAGCCTGCTCACCAGCATCTCTGGTGGCTTACGGGATCCATCAGTAAATGACATTACAAAGGCAAAACCTCTGCTAGCTGGGGCTTGCAATTCTGGGTTTTCCCTTGGACAAGCTTTGTAACAAGAAATAGCAAAGAGATACAGACACGGAGCCGAGGGAAAGCAATGGTGTGAGAGGCGCAGGTGGTCCTGAGGCCCGCGGGGCATACCTTCCAGGCAGGTTGTGGAGTAGAAGCCAATGTTCTTGGTCTCCAGGGGGTTGTCGTGGGTGAATTCGCAGGAGCGGGGCTGGGGCTCAGACTCTCCAGTGAGAGATGAGTTATCTACCTGGAAGGAATTGTGAAAAAGTCCAAGTTGAGGCACTGTGTCCCCTGCCCTGCTTATATGGAGACCTAGAAAGAGCACGGAATGCCAGCCTGATCCTTGGGGTGCCCGTGACACTTACCTTGCACCCCTGAGAGTATAGCAGCCTGATGTCTGCAGGGATCTGGTCCCCTCCTTTAATCTCCACTATGTCTCCGACCACTAGCTGCTCTGCAGGAATTATCTTCTTTTCTGAATCTCGAATGACAAGAGCTTGCTGCGGAAAAAAAAACACGTTGACAGATGCCTCAGATCCTAGAATGATGCTTACCCTCCTCCATCTACCCTTCACTAAACCTCAGCAACAAGGCATTGGAGGCCACAGCTGTCGGGATGGCAAAAGATGAAACAAAAGACTTTGACCTGGGCCCGAAGGCCCTAGACATATTCTTGCAACCAGAAAATGCTGCCGTGGGAAGACATAGCACAGCAACAGCCCCAGGCCTGAAGGAAAGGGATGAGCGCTCCTGGCTGGGATGTCTGGGGAGAATTCTGACGCTGTACCAAAGGGCTTAATAATCTTGCTCAGGTCAGGAAAACTTTAATACAGGGAGAGGTGGATCTCCCACTTGTTAGTGCCCTCCAGCTGGCAGCTCTGGGAAGCCAGGGACAATGTGGTTTTCCCACTGTGTTGACACTGGTGCATAGTCTCCCTGGAGGACACCTGCCAGGGGTCCCTGTGGGAAGAGGGGAGCAGTGGGCGCCCCACACTGAGAACATGCTGGGGCAACACGCAGCAAGACTCAGCCATGGCAGCCAAGATAATCACAGATAAAGAATCACAGGCCGATTTCCTTGGCTTCCAGAACCACCTGAATGACTTCTGTCTGAACAGTTCGCCAATGCTTGTGAACTGTGACAGAAGATGTGCAATGATGAGTGTTTCTATAGTACTTTACTCCTGACTAAGCATTTTCCTGTATCTTACCTCACAGGTCATCTCAAAACCCCAAGAAAATGAGAGGTCAGGGAGATTAGCTCACCTGCCCAAGGCTTCCCAGGCAGCAAAGGATGCCGCCAGCCTAGCATGGACCCTCTGCCTCCAGGGCCCCACTGTCCTCCTCACCTGGAGACCAGAGAGGGACTGCCACTCACTCACCTGCGGAATCATCTTACTGAAGCTGGCCATGATGTTGGTGCTTTTGGCCTCTTGGTAGTATGCAAAGATTCCTGTTAAAATGACGACCAGTGCGAGCACGGTGCCCAAATACACCTGAGTCAGGAGGAGAGGCACCAATCAGAACGACCAGCCTCAGGACTGGGCCATGTCCTCGGCTTGGGGCTCTCCAGGGGGAAGCCAGAGCAATGGCAGCTGTGTTCTGGTGTAATTTACAGGCCACAGAATTTACCCATTTTAAGTATCTAATTAAATGATTTTTAATAAATTTACGCAGTTGTTTACTAAAGTTTAAACAATCACCACAATCCAGTTTTAGAGCATTTCCGTCATCCCAGTAGGACCCCTTGTGCCCACTGGCAGTGTATCTGCTCCCACCCAAGCTCTGGCAACCGCTGCCCACTCTGTCTCCAGGATACATCACTTCAACAGAATCATATATAATAGTATGTGGCCCTTTGCATCTGGCTTCTTTCTCTGAGCATCATGTTGGCCACTTCCGTTTTGTGGTTTTGGTGTTCAGTTCTCAGCAGACATAGACGTCCCCCACATTACAGGGAGAGAATTAGCTTTGGGGACAGAGAACCCCAAAACACATCACATGGATATAAATTTTTCTTCACTTAGGAACTTACATTCTCTCTCTCTCTCCTTCTCTCTCTCTCTTTCTCAAATTCATACTCATACTGCCCCCTCGACATAAGAAAGTCACACAGACTTTCTACAATATTTTACAGCTGGGAAAGGACTGATTTTCCCAAACACATGCAGTGATTGGTCAGTGGGAGACTGCAGACCCACCCAGGGCTCTGCGCCCCAAAGGCCTCCCTTTATGGTTCTGTTCTCCCTCATTACTAATTGAGTAAAACTAGGCAGGAGGCCCCAGTTCCTTACATTGTCTAGGGATGAGGATTTGTCATTGGAGTACTGAATCCCATATGCGGTCCAGCAAAGGATGGCTCCCACCCAGAGAAGGATGGAGAACCCTCCCACCATCTGCTTCAGGAACTTGATGATCTCTGGTGTTTCCTTGGGAGGGGAGAGGATGTTGGGCCCGTCCCGAGCCAGGAGTTCAGCAGCTTGGGTGCTGGAGAGGCCCTGAGAAAGCCGAACAAAGACAGGTAGGAATTAGATATTTTTCCTGCCTCGGTTAGACATGATACTTGAGCAGGCTGTGGGGAGGGCTTACCATACTCAGGGAGGGCCTGGGAAAAGTAGGTGATGCCTTATCTCCCAGTCCACACCTTTTAAAGGAATATTTAATGCTTAATATCAGCCAAAGAGTGCTCTCCATATACAGTAAGTACCCAACTTACAAACAAGTTCCGTTCCGGGAGAAAGTTCGTAAGTTGGATTCATTTGGAAGTCGGCCAAAGTGAGTCTTATATACCTTTGACACTTCCTAGCAGTCCCCTCCATATCACCACTGCTTTTCCTTTTGCTTCTGGACATCCTGGGGTCTGAATGAGCACCGTACTACTGTACACTATCACACTGTACAGTAAGCACACAGCAGCACAACTGTGACAATGTCCGGCAGTCACGTGAGCTACTTCTGCGTTTTGTTCGCATCTACGAATGTTTGTAATGCAAGGTCCGTTCATATCTGTGAAAGTTCGCAACTCGAGTGTTCATAAGTCAGGGACTTACTGTATTTACTCATTTGTTCTTCAAAATTACCCCCTGAAGAAGTGACTATTATTTTCCTCACTCACAGAGATGGGATTTGATGCACATGGCGGTTAAGCCACTTGGCTAGTCAGTGGTAGCACCAGGGTTCGACCAGGCGCCTGGCCCCAGAGCCCTATGCTGTGCTCTGCTAAGGCTGGTCCATTCATTTCTTAGAGGTTTCCCCAGAGACAGGAGCAACCTGGCTGAGGAGGACTTGACATACAGAGCTGGTCACCAGGGTGAAGGGCAATGCAATAGCACCCAGAAAGTACTGTCCCTTCTGGAACTCCAATACGGTACATGGCTCATTTTTCATCCTTACATCTGGTGCTTTTCTGTTTTTCTAGATATCCACCCTAAGTTTTAAGCTCTTGCTCATCTTGTGAGTTCCAAGTCTTATTAACTTAAGGCCCATATGATCAGTCACATTTTGCCAGGCACCTTCCATCACAGGTGCATGGAGCCCCCTCCACCCCCTTGAAATCCTGCACAGGGTTTTTTCCCCCCCACAAACTATTTTTTATAGAGGAAGTCTTACACACACCTTCTGTGCCTGATTATGTTACAAACCGGTTAAAGAAAAAGAAGGACTCTAGTCCATTTTTGTGTCCTTTATAGGGTCCGCTGCTTTTTTTCTATCATATAGGCTCAAATAGTTGTTGAATAATTGGATATCCGAAGTCACCAGCTTGCTATCATCAGCCCTCATTTGCAATTCCTCTTCCAGAATCCCAGACTCATCACCACCCCTACCTCCCACTGCCTTTTCTAATCCGCACCCCCACCCCCACCACCTCCACCTGTAACCCAGATTAGGGATTTGTACAAAAACCTCAGCAAAGTCCTATTGGTTATTTCTGTGAAATGTCTCTAGAATCTTCCCCCTTCCCTCCCATCTTACTGCTGCTGCCCTGTTTCAGATCCTCATTTCAGTCCTGCATTATTGTCCTATTTTTCTTGACCCTTCCATCTCTCACTTAAAACATACAGATGTAGAGAGACATATAGGTACATAGCGCACAGTGGCTATTTTTATTGACTTGATAAAGGTACCTAAATATCTCTCTATACATGCATATTTATCTTCTACCAGAATGGCCTTTTGAAAACCAATCTCACCAAATCGCTTCCCCGTTTAGAAACTGTGCCCCTCATACAACTAATATAATCCTTATTCCTTTGTTTAATATGAAAGTGCTGGACAGTTTCACCCAAATTACCTCTCCCCTGGTCTTGTTTTCTACCTCACCTCCCCACTTGCCACACATGCTCCCTCCCCCAAACCCCAGATGGCTGTGCAGGAGCACTTTGTCCTTCCTGCCCCCTGAGCACTCTGCCAACTTAAATCCGACTCACTGGGCCATCCTCCTCTGTCCCAGTTTCAAACATGGCACCTCCTCTGACTCGAATGGATAGATCCAAGTGTTCGGATGTTAACACACATTTAGGAAGTCTGACTTGAGTTTGAAGTCACAGAAGGAAGCAGTGCCTCTGTGGGGGGAGAGCTGGGGGGCGCCCGGGAGCACCACCCTTCCTGGAGAAGGAGGCGGACAAGCAGGGTCTAAGCCTGTCACTCCGGGCCCTTGCTTCTTAACACTGCTTCTTCCCATTCTTTGATAAAACCATCATACTTACTTCCAGGACACCAGGATTAAAACAACCATGACAATGAACAAGCATCCACCCCTTTCTGGGGAGACCATAGCTTTCCTGCAGTCACAGTCAAAAGAGCTGTATACAGTCAGTATCCAGCTTAGCCAAGGAGCCTGGCCGGGGCCTTGGTTAGGACACGCCAGCTCTCAAGGTCAACCAGCCCTCTGTCACCCACCAGGCATGTGGTGACTGGTGTTCTCAAATCTGCTGCTATAGGTCACTCATCCTAAAGGTGCCATCTACTTTCTCACACACCCTTCTCCTTCAGTCACTCCTCCCAATCCCAGTGCCCTGGTGACTTACCGTAATGATGTTTGAACAATATTTATTTTCCAATTCCTTATTGCTGAGCTTGTGGTCATCCTGAAGTCCATGAAAAGAAGGAGAGAGTGAATTACATAATTCCCAAAGACTCAAACCTGAAGCTCTGGTCAGCCCATGGAAGCTGGGAGCAGCAGTGATGGGCGAGGAACCAGGAAGTGTGGGAGCAAGGGAGAGAGTCCTTGGTGCCAGGTGGCCCTCACAGGGAGGGGAGGGATGGTCTTGCTATAGGAGGGCTTGTCCTTCCAATTCAGGGGACTTTCTGGTCACCTTGGAATTCAGACTTAACTTACCATTTACCACATATTTTTTATAAACAAAGTAGTGCATTTCAGCTTAGTCTGAGCTCCAGCACATGCAAGTCCGAGCACAGCTGGTGTCCAGGTGCTAGCGAGCAGAACCCTTAACACAGACCTGACTGTGGGATGAGTGGAGGGTGATGAGCAATACAACCGGCCCCCTTTCCCGGGCTTGACCACTCGGCAGCCATGCAGCCCTTGTCGGGAGGGAGCCTCTGGGAGAAGGACTTGTGACTTTCCTTATTCAAGTAGGTTGCTGGTTGCAGAAACCCTGCAGTTTAAAAACCTGCCAAATAAATACCAGTATGGCCCACACTTGCTAATTTGGCCACAGAATCATTAGATTCAAGCAGCATATCTCGACCTGGGCATCATTGACATTTTGGGCTGATAACTCTGTTGTAAGGATTTCCACCCAAAAGGATCTACTCTCAGTTGTGATACGCAAAATGTCTCCAGACATTGCTAATGCCCCCTAGGGCCAAATCCTCTTCTGGTCTGTCTCTGAGGACCCCTGGGCTAAGGACTAGCTAGCCGCCTCTTCCTGTTGCAGAAAGAAAACCCAGGCGTAAGTCTTCCTCACACCACCTGGAAAACCCAGAACTGGGGGTCTTTAAGCTCAGACATTCGGACTAAAGATTTATACTATGACCGGGACCACAGCCCCTCTTTTCTTAAGTATATGCAAAAAAAGTTGTGTTAAGAGATTAGACTTTACGATTAAATAATGTGTTTGCCCTTTCCTCAGCCAGAGTCTGCTTTGATCACTCTTTCACCAATTGAAGCTAACATTCCTGGGGATGCAGAGGATTAAGACGCAGTTCTGTGCACTGTATGCTAAGTTCCGGGCAGACGCGAGTAACGGATGGCTGAATGGATGAGTAGGGCCACTATCTGCATGGATGGACCTGGATTTTAAGGGGCCTATACTGTGAGGCACAGCACCTTTTCTTCTCCCCGGAGACCTGGCCTTGGGGATGAGCTTGAGGGAGGATGTGGGAGGGATGGGGCTGGGGCGTCCTCTGCTGGCCAGCACTGGAATAGCACAGAGCAGCACCTGCTGCTGGGGCTTGGGTTTAGTCAGAAGCCAGGGTTGCTCTAGCTCTCCTCAAGGTGCTAATGTGCTGGACAGGTCAGGATGCAAGAGCAGCCAAGTACAGTGACAAAGTACAGGATTCTTAAGAGAAGGCTGTGAAAAAGAGATGTTCCTCTCTCAGTTAATCCCCTTACACAGCTTCACAAAATGCTTAAGAAGGGAGATTCTCATCATAATAAACAAGCATATGACAGAATGGATATATTTTCATGTTGTAAGTGGCAATTTCAGGGAAGATGGGCTATGTCTTCAAACCTAAATGCTGGAGACACATAGGCAATGAGGATGACTACCATCTGGTGCTCTTCTAAGTCTTTCTCCTGAGGTGCCCATTTAACCTTCTTAATAACTCTAAGAGGCAGGCATCATGATTCATTCCTGTTTCTCAAAATAGGAAACTGAATTTCAGTCAAAGTGGGATTTGAGTTCAGGTCAGTTTAGTTTCAGGGCTGCGTTCTTAAATGTCCACCAGAATATATACAGACAAACGCTGCTAACGCTTAACAAGCTCTCTAGGAGAAAGAAAAAGCTCTGATTTGCAGCGTTTCCCGATTTCTCCCAATGGCCAAATTTTAAGCTACTAACACGATGTTAGTCAGCTTGCTCAAATCCTGAATATTTAACCATGGGTTCTCTAGCCCCCAGGAGCTTACACCATTACTGTCTGCTTTTAGAGCTCTAAAGTCTGCAATGAATTTCAGGGACTATCTAGCAAAACCTCCAGGTGAATGTAGAAGAATCCCCTTTGGCATTCCTGAGATGAAATGTCACATTTCAGTTCTGAGGCAGCCCTTTTCCATTGCAGCCAAAATTCTTCCTCAATCATAAAATTGTGCTTCAATAAAGCATTTTATTTACAAAATATTCTTTTCTCACTTTCCCCCCTCACAGATCCACACAAACTGTTTGTTTCCCGTTTCACATAAAGAAAATGAAGCTTCAGTGAAGCTAAGAAATTGCTTCCAGTTGCAGATCAATTAATCATCAGAGAAGTGGAAGTTTAATGGGGTGTAAGTTTGCCTGAATCCAAGCCCAACATCTTACCACCTTCTCACAGGACATATATACCCAGAAACCGAGCGAATCTCATATAGTTTTACCTTATCAGCTAGAAACTGGCAAATGGTTAGTTATATCGCAATGAAGCAGCCGGAGGGAGAGCAGTCTGAGCCAAGCCTGTGAGGACTGGAATCCCAGACTCTTCCCTGAGTCCCACTTGGGACTGCCTACAACCAGCATACAAGAATCCTGCAGAGGCCTGACCCTTGGGCAGATAGTATCACCTCTCTCTCTCTCTCTCTCTCTCTCTCTCTCTCTCTCTCTCTCTCTCTAAGGAAATGATCTCACAGGGATTTTCTAATCCTTGAGACCGATTTTCCTTTTGTAAGGGGCAGGTTATAAAAGGGCAAGCTCCCAGGGAAAGGGCAACACCCAGGGGGGGGCCCATTGGGCTTAAGCCCGCAGCAGTTCTCAACCTTGCTAATGCAACGATCCCTTAATACAGTTCCTCATGTTGTGGTGACCCCCAACCATAAAATTATTTTCATTGCTACTCTATAACTGCAATTTTGCTACTGTTATGAATCGTAATGTAAATATCTTTTTGTTTTCCGATAGTCTTAGACGACCCCTGTGAAAGGGTCATTCGACCCCCAAAGGGATCGCAACCTACAGGTTGAGAACCGCTGGCTTAAGGGCTCAATCAATCCACTGACCAAATCAAGTTCTTTCTTCAGCTCCTCTTTACGGTGATGCTTTCTGGGTTCCAAGCAGTTACCCTGCAGGCCCCGGTATTTCTCTTTGCCATCCCCCTTGTCTGTTTTCTCGATGTCTTTAGGTCCATGAAGCTCCACAGAGTAAACGCGTGGTGTTTTCTGAAGAAGCAGAGGTGCTGTGTTAGCCCCAGATGGGTTTTCTGACTTCCCCTACTGGTCGGGGACAGCCCTCCCCCTGTCATTCCGTCTTCTGTGGGGACAAGATTGAGCAGGATTGTGGGGAGGTCCCCCACCTTCAAACAGCAGCTCCAGGCTGGGGGGGGGGTTGGCAGGTCACGATGATTTCCCCACCTGGAGAGAACTCCCCTTCAAGGAGCCGCGTAGTATCCCTAAGATCTTGTTCCCCGTTTGTTGGGTTAAGGTTGCCCACTGCCCACCTCGTTTCTTGGGTGGGGTTGGCCAATGCTGCCCTGTTTGTTGGGTGGAGGGTGCCCCCGGCAGGGCGCACCTTACGCACCTTGGTGCATCCGTGTACCCCAACCTGGAGCCACCCTCAGAATCGGGGCTGGCCTGGGACCCCCGCCCCTCCCCGCGTCTGGGTTTGGGTCTTCGCACAGCCCTCCAGGGGCTCCGACTGAGGGTCTGGGCGGGTCGGGAAGAGGAGCCGCGTGTTCGCCCGGAGCGCAGTGTGACACCGGCCCTCCCCATCCCTTCGCCTCCTACACCCGCACCGCGGTCGGGGCTACACGCACCTGGCCCATGACGCGGCGGCTGGCAGGCGCCGGTCGGCACGCTGGTCCCGGCGGGGGAGCAGGGTCCAGACGACTGAGCGGGACTGCTCGAACCTGGTCGGCCGAGCGCAGCCGCTGGCACAGGGAGGCAGCAGCGCCTTAAATGCCGCGCGCCCCGCCCACGCCTGCGCGGCGCCGGCCGCCAGCCTCTCGAAAGTGCGATTTGCTTACCAATAATACCAGTAAAGGAATCGAGACCCACACACTATCTTCACAGGGGCACACAGCAGTTCTGGCTGCAGCTGCGCTCTAAGTTGTCCTTTTTGAAACCGAAGGCCGCCCTAGGACCCGGCAACGGGGTCCGTAGGCACAAGTGCGTCTCCGAGGGGATTTGGGGACAACCGAGAGACTCTGAGGAGCAGCTGAATTACTTTGGAGGATCCACATTGGATTTTGAAGTCGGAAACAATTTGGTAGGGAGAGAGCGGAGAGGAAAGATGGGGGGATACAGGGCCAGCCGACGGGCTCTGGGGTCGAGGGCTCGGACCCGGCTGTAGGTGCTCAGAACTGAAGCTGCAGGCTGCGCATTCCCACCAGCCCCAGCGGGGACCCAGCGCTTCTGCTCCCCGGAGCCACACACTCTTCCACTCTCCCTGCCAAGCAGCCTCCCTCCACACTTCCCTCCTGTTCTACCTCCGTTCCTTTCTCCTTTTCTTTCCTGAAAGATAGAATTTAAAGCCTAACCCCGCCCCCACCTCCCAGCACTGCAGAGCAACACCAACGAATTAGTTACTCCTTATCTAAACTAAATCGAAAGGGACAGGAAGACTCTGGGGGTGACACCTGGTTACAGATAACCATTACAGGTTATTTGAGGGTGAGGCATTAAATTTTTGTCCAAACCCAAGCAGCAGTGGCCTGGGGGAGGTCCTGGAAATCGGTGCAGTGTTTTTCTTCTCTCCTTGTTCCTAGGAGAGGGCTCTTCAAGAAAAGATTTGAAGATTATGAAGATATGAAACGTGTGTGAAACTGATGTTGCCACTGTTTGCTGGGAGTCTGAGAGAAGGGTTTTTGCAAGCACCAGTGGCTGCTGCTCACCTTCGCCTGTCCCCAACCCCTGCTCTACATTTTTAGACAAATGTGGAATAGACAAGCAGGTGTCTGGAGAGCTGCCCCTGACCCCAAGTCTAGTCCAAGCTTCAAGAGCAAACCCCCATTCATACTGAATCGACTGGAGGAGGGTAAGGGAGGGGGGAGGCTAATGTAGAGGTGATGGCATATGGGTAAACATTAGAAAATTGTAACAAGTTCCATTGGAGAAGATTGCTGTTTATTCTTATTGATGTCAAGTTTGGAAAAGTGTTGGTTATGACCAATCTGGACAAAAGAGAACATTGCCAGGTTCTTAGCACCTCTCTGGTCCTGCGGGGTTCCTGGCTACGGCAAGGTGCCAGTCTCAGCCACTGCTGCCGTGCCCTTGACATAGCTCTGATGCCATCAGGTGTCCTGGAGTGCAACCAAAAAGGACAAATGGGGCCTCTCCCCCGACACCCACCCTGACTCCAGAGTTATTGCTTTGCTGTCACCAGTCATTCTGTCCCAGAGTCTGGGCATCCCATTGTTCCTTGAGGAGAATGGCCTGCATTGTGACGCAGGCACCTGGAATAGTCCTCACCTAATAGAACTGTGAGCTGGATTTGCCCTCAGACACACGGACTGACTTCTTTTGGCCCCAGAAGCTACTACCATACTGTTCTGGGCAGTGGACACCGAATTCCACCCAATTCTAATAACCTCTCTTAAGCTGCCCATAAAACCCAGGGTACAGCCAAGGACACCTCCTTGGCCCTCATACTCTAGTAGTGACTTCTGCTTAAGGCGGGGCTTTCCTGTCTTTCAAAAGAAGCCTGTCCAGCGGTTCGAGTCCTGGCCCAAGCTGAGCAGCCACTGAGCTGCCAACAGGTGGCAGGATGGCTCAGCTGAAAAAACAAAACAAAACAAACAAAAACAAACAAACAAAAGAAGCCTGTCCACGCCAGGACACTTTTCTAGAGCTGTACTGATACACAAATATTACAAGTTTGGAACAGGCTGTCATATTCCTAGCTCATTTTAATTGGCTCATACACTTAATGCAATCAGTACTAGACATAGGAGGTGAATACCATAGGGGAGAAATGGTACTAAAATTATGTAATTTTCTGACCTCAGGGAAGTTACACTTGGTCCATTAGAGGCAAAATTAACAAATAAATAGTAGGAGACCCAGGGCAGAAAAGAATCTGACACTAAATGGTATAGGCTTTAAGCACTTTATGAGTTGAAAGAAAAGATGGGGAGGGAGATGGCAAGACTTTTATTCCTTAGAATTAATTGTTCAGATTTTTGTCTCTCCCCTTGCACCCTCCATGAAACATGGGAGAGAGGCAGAAAGGGGGACTGAGTTAGGGCCTGGTGTTTGTTAATCCTGGTGCCTGCTGCAGAGTCCTGGGTAAAGGGACACCCACCAACTGGCTCCCGAGGCCTGAATGTGAGGATTCAAACACAAAGAAGGAAGTGGGTCCAGGTGACAATGGGAAGAGGAAGGTTCCCTTCCAACCTCACATCCCCTCAGTGGTGTCACTGCCCATTACCCTCTTCCTCTCCCTGGATTCCTCTCCCACGCACACGGGCAGTCCCCAAACACCTGTGTCCTCTGCCTTGCCTGGCAATGACTTGGCAGCGTTTCTCCTGATGAGGGCCGCATGGATTTGCAGTCAGAATGAAAAAACAAAAACAAAACTTCAAGCAAGCATATGCTGCACTGTTTTCTCATTGCTTTGTCGGGAAGAAATCCTGAGATTGGTGTAGAAACATCCTGCAGAGAGGACAGCCTGCTTTCAGACATTAGCACATGTGCTATGGTTATGGCGCTGCCCCAGGCTGGTAACCACCATGACCAGAGTAGCTGGTGGTGCTCTCAGAAGCAGGTAAAGTCCTGCAGGGGCTCAGACAGGCCACAGCTCCCCAAAATGTTAGCTCACCACAGCATTTGTTCTCTGTGACTCATTTTGGGTAATAAAATTGTTTTTCAGAAAAATCACATTTCCCTTTTAATAGGTGATTGAAAAAAATTGACTGCATTTTTCTGAAGTTTTTTTTTAATTTTAATTTTCTTATGATTTTCGGTTTTTAATCTTAGATTTTTCTGACTTGAATGATCTTCACGTTTATCATGGAAGTTAAAACATATATACATATGTAACATATATGACATATAACCTGTATGACGTGACGGATATTATTCACACAAATACACTTGGTTAACTTTGAAGGATTTTGCCTTTTCTGATGAGTAAGGTGACGGCCTCTTGGTTACCAGCTCCCACATTTTTCAGAGTCAGGGAGCCCAAACCGGACACTCTGGTGTTTAGTCCTGAAATGTTTATTGGAGGCTTGTGTGTGTGTGTGTGTGTTTAGCACCATACCAGGTCTTCTGAAAGAGCTTTCAAGCTGGTTAAGGAGATCAGCTATATGATCCAGTTTAGAATATTAACATCAGACATGTCAAAGGCCTCCTACAGTCCAGCACTGGGTGGGGGCAGAAGCCCGGAGGTGCCGAGGGGGGCGGGAGCTCTGTGCATTGGAGTGATGGGCGCTTCTTGAAATAGGTCAAGTGCAAGTGGAGTTTGAGCAAGTGGGGAGGAAGAGGGTGGGCATGCTGTGGGGGAGGAAGGTATTTCACAACTGCAAAGGCAGGCGGTGGGGGCGGGGGAGGGAGGAGATGACAATGGTGGCATTTCAGGGAGAGCAAAAGGCCTGGTAGCCAGAGAGGACAGGTTCTCTGAAGGAGGGGCAGGAGACCAGGCTGTCAAGGTGGGACGGCGAAGGAACTGGGCCTTACCCCAGGCCTTGGGGAAACGTTGAGGATGATAGTAGCATAATGGAAACAACATTTGGGGGAAGATGAAAGGTTCTCTAGCAAAACCCAAGAGGTCTGTTGACTCTGTGAAGTTGCTGGGTTTGCAGCTGTCCCAATGTAAGACTTGAACCCAATCCCCTGTATTCTATAGTTTCCTGTCAGTGAGCAGGTTGTAAAGGAGGCGGGTTGCTGCTTTTGTCCAATGCGTTAGCACTGCAACGCCCTGAGCATGTCTAGCCTCTAATCCACTGTTCGTTCAGACATCACTGATTTGTCCCATCAAGTGTCTTTGAAACAAAACCAAGGAAAGGGCAAATGGTAGTCACCTATCTAAGGTCGATCGATAGTCACAATTTAAGTTAGAGAAGTGTATAGACTCTCTCCTCTCCATAACCTCAATAAATTTATATTTATCCAGTGTTTCCAGGGTGAACTGAGTTGTCCTAAGAGGTGTGTGTGTGGACACGGGGAGGGGAAGGAGGCTATGGAATGAAAGAATGTCCTTAGAGACATGGTTTGCCTCATCCAGAAAGATCATCTTTAATCTAATAATAGTGGTGGGTGCTGTCATTCTTTATAGTGTCCTAGTTAATAAGGAAAATAGAGTCTGACCTTTTTCCAATGATGTTAATAGAGCTGTGTTCATCTCCCCAAACTTTCATGTCTGATCAGTCTCTTGTGAGATGCCAGGTTCAGTTTGGGGGGCACATAAAAAGAATAACCTCGTTCTTACCGGGTCAGTCTTCCTGGTGACCCAGGCACAGATAACCATAGCTTTGCTGTATTGGTTGCCATGCCACTCCCTCCCATGAGCCACGTGAGGTGGATTTGTCTTAAGACTGTTAACTTGAATGAGTGTGGGAGTAAGATTTTTTTTTTTAATCAAATAGCTTTTCAGCCAGAAAGTTCTCACCACTGTGTAGAGGTGACATTCTTGGATCTGAGAAGTCCGCTGTGGAAATTCAATGCCGGCTCAAGACCAATTTTCAGCTTTAGAGGGAACCAGCAGAGGGCGCACCTTCTAAAAACACCTGGGGCTCAGGTATCCCAATGACATCATCACCGCTGAGGCCACCTGGAATCATTCAGGCACCAAGAATTTATAGAACGCCTGCGGGCTTTGCAACTGCTGCCAAATACTTCATTTCTGATGGAGCAAAGGACAACTTGGATAAAAGACAAACCCCAAACAAACAAACCAGAAAAGAAAACCCAACCCA